AGTGCGGAGAGCGTCTCCAAAAGCAGTCTTCGCAGACCGGAAAATCAGTCTTTTTGACCACCTACACAGGTAGGAGAAGACGCGACTAACCACGCCGGTTTGACAAAACAGAAGCGTTTTCGGCTGGAAAAACCTCTCATTGTAAACTTTTTAAAAGTTTTTCTACCAACTCAACTTGCGTGCATGTAGTATGATGTACTTTATGCTGTCTGCATTCAGATATGATATCTTGGCCGTCGCTGTCGACGATGTATACCGTGTGCTCCATAGCAAGGTGATGCAGGCATGGTGACTTGTGCGTGGGTTAGTTTATTGTGGTAGTAGACTTGCACAGCATCTACCGCACTCTCTCCGCCTTACTCCCTACATGGACCAGGTGTTAAGACAGAGTTAAAGGACCGGAGGCGGTGAAGGGCGCAGGTGGGTGGCGCGGTCGGGCCCGCACCTTGGCGCCCCATTCCACACCCCCCCCTCCCCGGTTCACACAACAATTGATCAGTATTTTATCCAACAATAACCACGGCACGACTGGTCAGAGGACGAGGATGACTAGGCGGCCATGCTTATCACCTCTATACCCAGCGGGTGCGAAATCGCACCTGCCGGCAGGGAGCTAGGTGTCAGAGAACTTCCAGAGCATGCCAGCCTACGAAAGCCATGGTTTTCTGATACTGGCATAGCAGGCGCTTTCAGACCTTAACTGAATTCGAATAATGTCCAAAACAGAGACAGAAATGACAACTTAATTGGCATTCATTTTTCGCACTCATTTTCGATGGGTTTATAAATTCAAATATATTTTGTAGAAAACATGCACAAAATGTGCTTTCTTTTACGCATCTGCTAGCAAAACACGTCTTCTTCACACTTTATCCTGGAAGAGAGGAAGTATTTAGGTTTTGAAAAGTTTTCAAATTTCCGAATAGTTTTGAGCCAAATCAGCCGCTACATTAGCGGTCAACGATTTCATTATAAGTAGCGTATACTTTTTTCGTAGGGAAAATTATATATAATGCATATATATGAATATAAGAAGAAAATATGCAGATTTCATAAAATTCCCAATGGGTACGGACTATGTCGTATACTTCAATAGAAGCATTAATAAACAGACAAGCAAGATGCTGCGTAAATGGGCATCTCGAGGTCCGAAGAAATCTCATAAGTAAAGCTTTCTTATCATTTAATGATACTTTTTCTTCAAGTTTACAGTATGAAGAAGACATAAATTGCTAGCAGGTGAGAAAAGAAAGCGCATTTTATGCATATTTCCTACAAAATATCTTTGAACTTATAAACCCATAGAAAATCACTGTGAAAAATAAATGCCAATTAAGTAGTCATTGTTTGCAAAGTATACTTTCTACGGGAGGTCGAGAGGAATAGCATTCATAAGCCAAAATCCCGGTAAGTCTGACATTTAACGGGATTATATCGCGTAGCAAGTAATATTGCAACTCCAACTAATTAATTCTTTCAAATCGTAAACAAATTTCATAATCTCGGCCAACTTTTCGTGAGACCGGGCGCTGATGTTATATGCATATAGCCGTTCCCTACGTAGACACACGTCGCGTTTCGCTGCCAGCTAAGCAAGAGCATGTTTTCCTATCAACACTGATGAATGAGCGGGCATCGTACGGTCTGAAAAATCTCATAGTTAATAAGTTTCCTCAAACCGAAATATACTCTTTCTTTGAGTAAAAATATGAAAAAGACATGATTTGCTATCAAAAGACTAAAAGAAAGCACGGTTTTGTGTATGTTATCTATAAAATATATTTGAATTTATGAACGCATCTCAAATTAATATGAAAAATGATTTTTTTGCAAAATGTAACTTCTCCGGGAGGTTAGAAGGGAAAGCATTCAAAAGCCAAAATTCCCGTAAACCTGAACTATAACGAGATTATACCGCGTAACAATTAATATTGCAAGTGCGTTGGAGTGGACTATTTTGGTCCGTTCATAGTCAAACGCGGAAGATATTCGGAGAAACGCTATGGTTGTGTGTTTAGCTGCTTACAGACGAGAGCCGTTCATCTTGAGATAGCCGCCAGTCTGACCACGAATTCTTTTGTTCAGTATCTTATTAGATTCGTGAGTAGACCCGGACGTCCCACTGACATCTACAGTGACAACGGAACCAATTTTGTTGGAACGGTAGCAGAACTCCGAAAGGACTTACACAATTGGGACCAAAAGAGAGTGTCGGACCAACTGCTAACTCTAGAAGTACAGTGGCATTTTAGCCCACCCGCTGCCAGCCATCGGGGAGGCATCTGGGAACGAATGATCAGGTCTCTACAACGGATTCTTCTTGCTTTCTGTAAGGAGCAGTGCCTAACTGACGAACAGCTCGGCACCCTCTTCGTGCAGGCTGAACGTATATTAAATAATAGACCGCTTGTCCCGCTAACATCAGACAGCAACGACTTGGAACCGCTTACCCCGAATAGCTTATTGTTGATGAGAAACTGTCCAGTGCTGCCTTGCGGAGACGAATTGATGGCACGGTACCACGTTGGACGGAAACAAATACACTACCTCGCTGGCGTGTTCTGGAGACGATGGGTAAAAGAATATCTCCCAAGTCTACAGAAAAGAACAAAATAGACAAGAGAAGCCGCGGAACTGAAACCAGGTGATGTTGTTTTTGTTTCTGGGAAGCGCACACCTCATGAGAATTGGCCTTTGTTAGTAATCGATACGTGCGAAAGGAGTCGCGACGGTCTAATTTGGACGGTATATACTAGAAGGGCGGCGGTCTCTTAAAAAGGGGCGCTAGAAAGATTTGTCTACTTGAGGGTCAGAGCAGCCGTATACCTCCAAACGCGTAGATCGTTTACAAGAGCCGGACGTAGAGAATTGGCGGGCGGTGTTGTATTCAGCTGGTCAACTCTTGGAATTCTCCACTCCCTCCTCTCAAGTGCTTCTATATTTGGCCCCTGTTGACATTCCCTTCCCCTTTTTTGTAACCTTTTCTCGAGCGTGATCGGCGTTCTTTTAATTAACTAGTTTTGTATTCTGACCTTGAGCTGGGAATTCGATTTGCTTGAACAGTAACAAAGGAATTCTTTGTCTAGGGTATCCATTGTTGAGTACTGTAGAATTCCTTGCCAGACTAATGACGCGTATATACACCAAAATCTGTTTTGGCTTGAATGCGTCACTCGCCTGGCAAGGAATTCTACACCCACCTATTTAATGCTTTCAAGTCGTAAACGAATTCCAGAATCTCGGTCAACTTTTCATGAGATCGGGTACTGATGGTGTATTTACATAGCTATTTCCTGTGAAGACACACATCTTTTGTCTCTGCCAACTAGTCGAAAACATGAGTTCCCGTTTCACCTTTTTAAAACTAATATTGTCCCTAAACAGATCAGTATTTTCTGCAACACTTTCGTGCCCTCTGTTCGTATTGAGGGCCGTTCATTTTAACTAGGCCCTTCATGGGTGACGTTGGGCTAGTTTGCAAAAACGCAAACTTGCCTTCCGCCTTTTATAAAATTATTATTATTTATTTTTGAGGATTTGGGTGGGTTCACTCATTTTCGTCGTCGATATTTTGTCACTTTTGACTTTTCCATTTTTATCGGTTATGAACACACTCGAACTAATGATATTTAGTATTCAGCTCAGGATTTTCTTTTGTCCATTTTTTCCATGTTTCCCTATGGTGTCTTTGAGGAGAAAGGACTATCTGGATGGTGTTTTGACACGGAAAATCGTTCAACATAATCCCCATGCATTTATTCACGGCAGGATAAAGGTATGTATTTTTTACTTATATTCTGTGTCTTCACATATATTTGAATAAATTTTATAGAAAGGGTTAACCAAAATATTTTTCTTAACTTATTTGATGAAACATCCTACCTCCCTTAAAGTTTTTAATTAAGAAGAAGTATCTTTCAGTTTTAGAAAACTTTTTTAAATTCCTGAATCGTTTTGTATTTCGTCCACATCTGCACTTGCATTTAAGGTTTCCGAACTACATACTGTGCATTTCTCTGCGGTAATTAAAAGATAATGTTGTAGGTCCATGAAATTTCGCAACGGCTATAGAGCATGCAATTTGAAGAAGAAGTAATCTGATACCAAATGAGTACAACAAAGATATTTTCGTCTAAGTTCTGTATAAAACATATTTTGATTTATAAGAGTCTCGGAAACCAGTGAGAAAAATCCACACCACTTAAGTTGTCATTTTTTGCAGACGCCTGAAAAGGTCACAGAATTGTCTTGCATGAGAATCAATACTATAACATCGTCTAAGTAAGCTTTTGTAATCGGAAACGAATTGGAGAATTCAGATTAATATCGCACAAGGACTCTAAGCAATAATCAAGTAGTAATCGTGAAGTTTCAGGTCGCTTGTGCCGTCATCAGCCGAAAGGAATAGCGGAGAGGTGAGATTACTGCAGACACCCCCGAGAGGAGCCAAGTATCGCGTTACAAAATACATAAGGTGAAAACCGATATGGAAACGGAGGTTTTAATGGCCAGTTCTGACTTACTAATTGTCTTCAGACAGCCCTGTCTCTGTCGGTAATCTCCCTAGGCCATTTGTGCAGTGAGTGGTCTGACACTGTCGACGGATGCGAAGTGACGATGCTATGTGAATGGACATTGCTCGGTCTTAAAAAATCTCATTATTAGAAACTTTTTAAAATCTAATTATACTCCATTTTCGTGTATAAACTATGAAGAAGACCTGATTTTTTACTAATTGACTGAAAGAAAGCGTATTTCCGCTCATGGTTTCCATAAGATATATTTGAATTTGCGAGACCATTGAAAATCAACGGGAAAAATGATACATTGAGAAAACTTTCGCAAATCAATTAGATATCATTCGGTCTTGGAAATCAACGCCCAGAGGGATAAACATTGGGCTGGACCAAAACACTCCTCCGGTTTATCGCAGATCAGAGTTTTGGTAATCGAAAGCAGACAATCAAAGAAGGAGGAAGAGGACTGATGTCAGGAACACCTCAGAGGGCAATGAGACTATCAGAGGGCACATGCATCACGACTAGAAGGGCGATGCGACTATCACCCAACTCAGTAAGCTCTAGACGCACTAGGCGAAGACAGATGATGGGGAAATGGCTGAAAAGTGAAAGGATAAAACACACAATTAGGCGACCACAATGTTGCAATTATTACCCTTCATAGAGAACGGGCCATAAACTGCGGCAAAAGCGGCAGAGGCCAAGCACCCCCTCCACTCTCCCCCCCTTCCATTCATCGTACAGCCGATTTGTTGCCGCTTTCTCTTCGCCCTTCTCGGTACATTTGTCGACACACATGTCCGCTGAGAGTTTGAGAGGCGTTGCGCTGTAGGAGGGGGCTGGGGAGTCTGGGGAAGGTGGTGGCGGCGACATCGGCGGCGGCGGCAGCGGACTTGCCGGCGTGTATATGTGGTAAGGCGTGGCGCAGGAAAACTAAAGCATTTTACTGCCGCCGAACCTTTAAGCATCCTCTCATCGTCATCACAACCATCAGCATTATCGCCAACCCCTGCCCCCCCATAGGCATTATCATAATCACTAGCATCTGTGTCAACTTCGACATATTGTGTGTGTGTGCTCGCACGCCGGGTTGGTCATGCGTCAGAAATGGGTGTGCGGGAACGAAAAAAGCGTTTTCCGCGTCGAGTGAAAAAGAACAGCGGCGGTTTTGAGAAACCTTTGTGTTTGTGTGTGCTCGCTGGCGCGCGTACCGGCAAGCAAGCCCGGAGACGACGTTTGACGTTTTTCGCCAGGCTAATCGGCTGCCGACAGCGCTGAGGCTGAAGACTGCTCAACCCGTCGCTCGTCGTCTTTCCCGCCGCCGTCGCAGTCGCCTCCTGCCCCTTGCTGTTTCCTCTTCACATTCGAATACACTCGCGGATAGGAGAAATTTCGGATCTGTGTTCTAAAGAAAGGCTGACGGAGGGAACAGGTCCGACGACGTACACGGAGTCCGCTGGAATCCCTTTGTCAGAACTTTAAGACAAAATCATGCCGGGTTGAATAGTTTCATTTGGTGTTCACAGCGGCAAAAGACCGCAGTGGATATTAGGGTTAACAAACATGTCCGCCAGCCTTTCTGCTGGCCAGCTACTCTCGCAGTATCGCATTCATAGACGTCGAATGGCCATTGTAATGTTGCAGGATAACACTCCTGTCCCCCGCTCAAAGGAAGTATGATTCCAACTCAGTCTACGACTATAATCTAATATTTTAGACCACAGCCAGCCTCTCTGCCTGCGGCCTTCGAAGCATTTTTACTCCCGCCAGCAGCCCGGACCTAAGTCCTATAGAAAATGTTTTTGCACTAATCAAGAGAAATTGGGACAAGGCAAGGAAACATACTTCTATGGGACAGAAGTTGACAGTTTGTTTAATAATTACATAGGCCAAACCACCATAGACAACTTGGTAGTCTCCATGCCCTCACGCCTTACAGCAACTTTAAAAGCTAAGGGACAATCAACAAAGTATTAACACGTATTTGTTACTGTCTTTCATTTTTTGTCGTTTTGTGAAATTTCCCTTCTCTGCTGACAGTTATGTTAGACCCTAAATAGTTGGCCTGTCATACAGTCAATTTTTTGATTTGGTGGTTTTTCCTAAAATACTTCATTTCTAAGTCAATAAATAATACTTTATAAACCAAACTATGCCTTGTTTTGAAGCTCGGTCGTACATTTAACGCAGTATAACTTTCGTGGATGCGGGGTGGCAGTGTCGTGGGCTACAGCGATCTAAGTTCATAGTTCGTGTCATTTCATCAGATAGGTCACGAACTGTACGTATGCTTTGAGGGAGACTATACAACCGATCTACACAGTTCTTAATTTGGGTTAAAGCACTCGCTGCGTGGTCACTAACTATGCGTGACCTCGATTTCGTGAATATGAGATTCTTTTTGCCGGAAATTAAAGTCATTAAATTAGACACTTTTTAGTAGTACTTAGAAGTACCCTTCCGCTAATAATCATCCCCCTAGACCGACAGTTCGACCGTCGTACCCGGCGATGTCCACCGTGTGCTCCACAACCAGGTGGGAGCAGGGATGACGATTTGCGCGTGAATTAGTTTAAAGTGACAGTAGACTTGCGCTGCATCTACCGCACTCTTTCCACATCCCCACCTGAACCCGGTGTCAAGACAGAGTCAGGAAGACCGGGGCGAAGGAGAGCGCAGGTAGACGGCACGGCCGGGCCCGCATCTAGGCGTGCCACTCCACACCCATGGCAGAGAACAAGCACTTGACCAGGACTTTTCATCAACGAAAACAATGGGAGGGTGGCAGGGATCTCAGTTGGCGCGAAGTGCGCCGGCAAATGGGCCTGCACCACACCCCGAATGTTGGCATTGGCTATAGTGCGCATTTCGACAACACCTGCCAGAATCCTTTATGTCCCCCCCCCTGTTGTTCGAGCGCATCTGTTGCTTGGCTCGTTTTGTGGGCACATCTCCCCAGACCACAGTGTGGAGCAACGTCCGTCTCTGAGGGTCATCTAAAACAGCGTGCATGGTTACTTTTGTGTTCGAATTGACTCAATATGCTCTGAGGCTGCTTGCAAACGCCCACCGTTGCTTACTTAAATGTTCTGTACAAAAAAGAAACTCGCTTTGCAAACTAGACAGAATGAAAATCTGCAACTGTTGAACTACCGAAAGCTTGCATCGAGAAGTTGCCTGCTCAAAACGACCTTGTTACCGCGTTACGCTTGGACAGACAAGAATGCATAACATAATTGTCGTGTGACTTTAATCAAAACCTATTATACACCCGTACATTCGTTACCTCCGTCTGTCTGAGGATGGATTCAAGCGGAAATCAAAAACTTTAGGTGAGTGACACTCGTGTCTGAGAGTTCGAGTCTCCTTCCTTGCATTGTTCCCTGGATCTGAGTTTCCCTTTCCACCAACGGTTTACGCTAAGTGTCAGTAACGCAAGGGACTTTAGTTCACATTTCCAAGGAACGTATCCCAGCTTACCTGCGGCCATGTTCCACAAGTGACAGGGAAGTATGACAAGATGACGCGCGATCGACGCGAATTTTGGAACTTTGTTGAGGGCAAGCCAGTTTTCGCATTTGAACTGCTATTCGGCCTGACAGTTCGACCGTCGCATCCGACGATGTCCACCGTGTGCTCTACAGCAGGGTGAGAGTAGGCACGGTGGTTTGTGCGTGAATTAGTTTAAAGTGAGAGTGTACTTGCGCCGCATCTACCGCACTATCACTTCCCCACTTCCCACCTGGACCCAGTGTAAAGACGGAGTCAAGAAGACCGGAGGTGGGGGAGGGCGCATGTAGATGGCACGGTCGAACCCGCACCTTGGCGTTCCACCCTACGCCCCCCCCCCCCGGTTCACACATCAAATAACCAGGTTTTTGATCAACAACAACAATGGGGGGATGGCAGAGTTCCAGTGTGCGCGACGCACGTCAGCAACCGGGTCCGCCACCGCATCCCGAAATACTGTACTTACTTGTACTTGATACGGCTGCGATCATGCCTGATCTAGCCGGCCCCGATGATGTCCCGGACTGTACCTCTCCACGCGTGACGATCCGCGGCAGCAGATCCAGACAGCTCAACCCATTCCCTTCGCCAACGACAGAGACCGAATACCGAAGGTCCAAGAACCAGCTCCGTGTCTTGACGAACTGCGTCGAGCCAGGTTTTGAACTGACCCCCTCTTCGACGCCTCCAATGGGGCAACGGTGCCGGATCGAGGGCAGTAACACCGAGCTCCTGAGGTGGACGACGAAGAACATGCCCGAAGCACTTCAGTCGTCTTTCTTGGATGGCCTGAGATATCCTTGCGATGCTGTCGCAGCGAGTGCGGGCTGTCTCATTTGAGACGAAGTAGGTGAGCTTCACTCGAAGGATGGTCCCCAAGCAGTGATGGTCAAATACCTCCAGTTTTCGCTCATCCTGCACGCGCAAAGCCCAGCATTCACAACCGAAATGCTGGCATTTGTTGTGGTACGCAAGGCGGATAACGCCTGCCAGGATCCAATATGGCTCCCGTTTTAGTCCAGCGCATCTACTACGTGGTCCGTTTGAGGAGACACACATACGTACTGCATGACCCTGATTTTTGCCGCATGACAATTCCGGGGACACAGAGCAATAGTATCAGAAAATAGGAAGAGCTTTTAACGATCACAAACTGGCAGCCGAAATTCTCACCCCGCCATTGTCTGCATTTACAAGAAACTTGGTGATTAATACTTCCTCACTGTGGGATGTGGACTTGCGTGGCATCTATTGCACTCTATATTTTCCACTTCCTACCTGGACTTTGTGTCAAGGCAAAGTCAAGCAGACTGGAGACAGGCGCAGTCGAGCCCGCACCTTGGCACTCCACTCTTCACCCTCTGTCCCCCACAACAAACGACCAGAATTTTAACCAACAACAATATCAACAACGCCACAACGTGTCAGAAGAACGAGAATGACTGGGCGGCCAAGTTCACGCCCTGTATACCCAGCGGGAGCGCAAACGCATCTGCCGGCAAGGAACCAGGTGTCAGAGAGCCGCCAGCGTGCACCAGGCTGCGAGAACCATGGTTTGCTGATCCTGGCAAAGCAGACGCTTACAGACCTTCAGGCCCTTCAGACCTTCACGTGACCCTGATTTTGCCTTGGCTGTCCCCCTCAAGGCTGGGTAACCAAACAGTCGTCGACCGAGTGGCACACAGACCGGAGGCAACCATCAGGCGTCTGATCATGAAACCGAAAGACCCACTGCCACGGCTAGAAACGTCTGGAGTCGTTTATCGGATCTGGTGCAGTTGCGGACAAAGCAACTACGTCGGAGAATCCGGAAGACAGCTCCGAACGAGAATGGCCGAACACGCGGCAGCGGTGCGCAGAAATGGCGCCAGCTCTCAAGTTGCAGCTCATTCGACGAGATCCGGCCACACATTTAAATTCGATGAGGCCGAAATTCTCGCAAGAGGTGACAACCGAGTGAGCCGGGAGCTACTGGAATCATGGTTTACTGCCCCCCAGTCCATCAACAAGTGCAACGATCTTCCCATTCCATACTCCGTACTGAAACTTCGCCTAGGCGGAGTAACAAGCCATGCGGGGAGCGCAGAGGTGAACACTTTTCCCAACACCGGGGTCGGTGCGTCAGATGGTCGAGCCATCATCACGCCAACATCCAACGCACGTGATGAAATTGCAGCAATTATCGACTCGAATGTCGGCTATCAAGCAATGATCACACAAGTGTGACAATCCCGGATGAAGGGGGAGCCGTGAATGTTCATAGGTATGCGGTAGCATGGCTGCTGCATCCTATAAATACCGCAGCCCCTTGTGCAACAACCACCCGTTTCTGCTCTTTTGTCTCTGATGATGGATTCGAGTAG